GGGCTGGCCAGCCACCCGCCAAGGCAGCCGCATCACGGAGGCGCAGGCGGCCGAAGGGGGGGGGTGAGCGAGGTGGCACAGCAGTGCATCTCAAAGGAAACGAGCATGCTAAACTTGAATCTGTCAGTCTATCTCGACACTGGTCGCGGGGATGAGGGTGTGCGAACCCCGGTAAAACTCATTGGCCGGACGAGCCATGATCTTCGCTGTGCATTCGCAAACTCGAGGAGCGCCACGGAATACATATGCGTCTGCGATGCACCTCGGCAACCATTCCTCATTCGTTACATGTGCCTTTAGTTCCATTTTGTACGCACAGTGCACCCCAGTACCTGATCTCTGCCACACCTCCAGCAACCTCCAAGGTCTGTGAGGAGCACCCGTTAGCCATACCTTACAATACGATGGCTTCAAAGCTCTCAACACTGCTGCTCTTGGCAGCAGTGCTTGGCGCCGCCAGCGCCAGCCGCGCAATCGAGGAGCCCTCTGGTCGCCAGCTGCTGCAGGCACCCACCAGCGCCGACTGCGACCGCTCAGTGAAGCATTGCACTGCTTGCCGCTACCAATTCTACCGCGGCACTGTCACCAAGGTGGGTGCAGCGACGCATATGCTTGGCCCATGTTGCAGGGGACGATCTGGCAGGGCTACGCACATGCCGTGAATCTTGACCTGAATTAGTAAGGGCCACGTAGGTTGGCTGGCTCGCCCCCTGATCACCTGTGTCCCTGATTGCCCCACGATATCAGGCCATCTGCACCAAGTGTGACACCGGTTACACTGTGAAGGCCAGCGGCCGCGCTTGCTGTGAGTGCAGGGCAGGAGAAGGAGGGAAGGGGTGCCAGCCGCGGCTGCTATTGGGTCCACACGGCATGCAGGGTGCTTTGTCCAGGGCACTGCGTTGCAAATGCGACACAACGCAAGGGTACCGCGCTGCAGCATCCCAACGGCTGCATCTGGCCACCAGTAAACTCGAAACAGCATCCCTCGCCCCCACCGATTTCGCCGGCCACCCCCTCCCCCAGACTGCGCGCCCGGCTACTATACTACCGAGAACACCGCCGTGAGCGGTCAGACCGGCTTCACCTGCATCCCCTGTGACTACAACAATGTCTGCCCCGGCGCCAAGATCACCGCCGAGTCCTCCACGGCCTTCGCGGCCTGCGGCGCCAACAAGATCACCACCACGCAGTTCGCCAAGTCCGACCGCGAGTGCGTCGTCAAGCCCGGCTTCGGCTGGGGGACCGGCGACACCTCCGCCGCCTGCGACGCCGGCTTCTGTGAGTGCATATGGGGCTTTAATTTGGGTCCATCCGGCCTGCATGGTGATTCACACATGCAGTAGAGCAGATGGTGGCAGGTTGCTTGAGCGGGGTTGCTGGGGCCCTGGGGAGCGCAACTGCAGGCACACCGAGCTCAGCATCAGTGTTCAGGCCTGAGCTTGCACACCCTTTGCGCCGCAGCCGCTGACACCTCCTCCGCGCCCTCCCTTTCCCAACCCACCCGCGACCAGATAACCCCGGCTACAACACCCGCAAGTGCACCAAGTGCCCCGGCGACCTGACCACACTTGGCACCAACTCCAACTCGACCCAGGACTGCCAGGCGCCCATCGGCTCCTACTACCTGCGCGGCAAGGCCGTGGCCTGCGCCCGCGGCACCTACAAGACCTTTGTGGGCAACCAGGACTGCACGTCGTGCCCCACAGGCGTGACCACCGTCGCCGGCGAGGTCGGGAAGACTGCCTCTTCCGACTGCACAGGTGCGTGCCTCCGGCATGAGCGGGCTTTGGGGGGTCGGGCTCCAGGGCGGGCAAGCACCGGGGTGTTGGCAGTCAAAGGTTCCTTTGGCCCCGCCCGCTCTGCATTTGCGTACGGCTGCAAGCTTACTTGCGTGGCTATCAGCGACGCAGGCTGCGCTCAGCAACGCTTTGTCCCTGACACATCTATGCGCTGCCACACCCAACTCCCCTCCTGCAGTGCTGCTCCCCGGCTACCAGTTCGCGTCCGCCCCCACTGTTGGCACCACCGATGCCACCGAGTGCGCCCAGGACTCGTACCGCGTCGGCGAGGTCTCCTTTGACGGGTCCACCGCCGTCACCTGCACGGCTTGCGGCAACAATCTCACCACCCTCGCCAACGTCACCAAGGCCACCAGCCCGGATGCTTGTTTGGCGCCCCCCGGCTACGGCTGGGCCGCCGGCGGCACCAACGGCGCCGGCGTCGCGACCCTGTGCCCGCTCGGCTCCTACAACCCCGGCTACAACAGGGAGCCCTGCGTTAAGTGCGGCAACGGCACCATCACCACCGCCGCCCCCGGCGCCACCAGCGCCGACCAGTGCTACACGCCCGCCGGCCACGGCAACAAGCGCGACGCCGTCAGCGGCGTGCTGGAGGGCTACGAGTGCCCTCTCAACACCTACGGCCGCCCCAACAACACTTTCGGCCTCGTGGACGTGGAGTGCACCAAGTGCCTCGAGAACACCCACACCAACCAGGTGGGGCTTTGCTTCCGTTTTGGGGGCGGGAGCCCTGACTGGTGGACGGGTTGGGGTGAAAAGCGGGGCTGCTTCTCCACCCTGCTTGCGAGTTTCCATGCTTGCGTTGCCTTGATCAATGCACACCCCGCCTTTCCTGACTGCTGCTGCCCCTCTCCCCAATCGGCCCCCACCAAACACCCCTGCAGACCGCCTCGACCCGTGCTTCCCAGTGCCTCACCAACGCCGGCTATGGCTACGACAACGGTGCCGTCAACCAGTGCGCGTACGGCTACTACAACCCCGGCGACAACCAGAACCCCTGCACCTACTGCGGCGACGGCTTCAACACCACCAACAGCGCCAACGCCACCAGTGGCGAGCTGGGCTCTGACGCCGCCAGCGACTGCAAGATCGACTTTGGCTACCACCTGTTTGGCTCCTCCGCCTCCATCGAGCCCTGCCTGCGCGGCTTCTACAAGGGCTTCATCGGCAACGGCTCCTGCAGCCAGTGCCCCGCGGGCACCTCCACCACCATTACGATGGCCGCCGTTGCCCAGACCGACTGCGACACGTGCCGCCCCGGCTTCGGCACCGGCACCGCCGACGGCAAGATCGCCCTCGGCTCGCTCTCCAACTCGTCGTGCAGCCTCTGCGCGTCGGGCACGTACAGCCCCGGCTTCACCCAGGGCGGCGCGAACTGCACCGCCTGCCCCACCACCCAGAACTTCACGGGCACCATGGTCTCTCGCAGGGTGCGCGGGGCCTGGCGGCAACAAAAGCACTCACATCGTGTAGCCCTTTCCAAGTGCCCCAAGTGGCACCCGCTTTAGCCGCCTTGGCTCGACCCTTGGGGTTGCTGCTGGCTCTGCATGCCGTCGCGCTTCCGCCTCTGCCTTTGTTCAAGGGACCCACCTGACCCTCCCTCCACACGCTCATGACTCACGCCTCCCTCAGGGCACCTTCACCCCCGAGGACTGCTTCGGCCAGTTCATCACTGACCCCACCAACGAGCAGACCTTCACCGCCTGGGACTTCATCTACCATCCCCCTGGCACCAACCTCACCTACAAGTCGCTCTACACGAGCCTGTCCGCCTGCCAGACCAACTGCGGCCTCGACAACAGCTGCCAGTACATGGTCTTCTACAAGACCGGCGGCGCCGACGGCGACGGCATCAACAAGTGCTACTGGCGCACCGTCGGCACCGACATCAGCGCCATTCAGATCACGGGCGACGGCACCGCTGCCTGGTGGGACAACCCCACGGAGAACATCGTCCTCTTTGAGGTGCGGCACGCTGTTTTTCCTTGAAAACTTTGGTTTGGATCTGCCTGCCTGCCTGCCTGCCTGCCTGCCTGCCTGCCTGCCTGCCTGCCTGCCTGCCTGCCTGCCTGCCTGCCTGCCTGCCTCTCTGCTTGCCTGCATTGATGCACACATGCGCTTGCCTGCCTGCGCCCCTGCATACAAGATGATCTTCACGCTGCTTCGGCTTGCCCTCGTTTTATCGACCCTGCAAAGACCCAGAACTGACCTCAACTCGCTGTCATGCCTGCTTGCCTGAACACCGCAGATCAAGGAGGGAGCGTACGTCGTGTACCCCAAGGTCCTCGGCGAGACGATCGGCGTGACCATCTCCCTGATCGGCTCCCCCTCCACCACCAACTTCAAGGCCATGCGCACCGCCTGCGACCTCGACGCCACCTGCATCGGCCTCACGCACGACATCGGCGGCGTCTGGAGGGCGTTCGGCGGCAGCCTGTTCGAGGACACCATCGGTAAGATCCGCGTCGTCGGCACCGCCATCAACTCCTGGATCGCCGAGCCCACCGGCACTGAGGAGAACGAGGGCTGGTCGTCCGTGCCGCTCATCGGCTAGGCGGCGGCTCGCCAGACAGAGTAGCTGCGCTGCGCCTCTGATTCCCACTCGATTCAACGCCTGCAAACGCAAACCTTGACACACTAGCTCCTCTGTTGGCCCGTCCTGTCGCATGTCGGCCCCAAGCCTTGGGCTGGGGTGGGCCCCCATCTGCTTCGCTCTGGTGCTGCGCGACTTCGTTGCAGGACGGCGCTCCCCCTTGTGCATGCAGCGCCTCTCTTCGCATGTGGCGCACCCCCTTCTGTCGCGCCGCGTTTAGGGTGTGGTCCGCGCAAGCCTTGCCCTGCCTTGAAAATGTTTGTATTCCCTCCCGAAGAGTATTGAGGATCCCCATTGCTTCCCCGCGCAAGCGTTCAAGGAGCAGGGTTAGATGCATGCCTCAAGGGTGCACACGAGACCCCACAACACCACGGGCTCGCGTCTAACCACGCCTCCTATGCTTTCATATGCTGCCTGGTTACATCACCTTACCCTCTCTGCCCGTGCACGCAAATCTCTTGGCTCACAGCCTATGTGCTTGCCGCTCAGCACTTCGCAGACTCGGAAAAGAGCGCCGAGCGTATGTATCGCGCCGCCTCTCATTCTCTTGCACCGCTGTGGCTAGCGCGGCGGATGTGCGATTTGCAGAGCGGCCAGTGCCAACGCCGCTTCCGCCCTTGCGGCAGTCCATTCTTGGAGACGAGCACTCCCTATCATCTTGGGCCTCACCCACCTTGCTGCCTTTGTTCATTCCCAAAAGCACTGGGCGTTGTCGGCATCTAGGCATGTGGCTGCTGTGCATGCAACCGTCCTTGTGTCGAGGCCGCCGCCAATTCAAACCGCGCCTGCTGGCCAAATCTGATCTGTCTCCCCACACGCACTCCCTGGGAGGTCACCCCCACCCCCTCACTACAATGCACGCGCTACTTGCTGCACAATATGGCACTGTAAAAACCACACAACAACTTCAAAGCAAGTTGGTGCTGAGACAATGGTCCAATCAGAGTGCATCGCGATGATTATCGACAGGCAACTCAGGTTTTCTTTTGAGAACCCTGCTGCTGTACCTGCCACTGCTGTTTCAGCTGCTCCTGTTCCTGCGGTTCCTGCTGCTGCTGCTGCTGCTGCTGCTGCTGCTGCTGCTGCTGCTGCTGCTGCTGCTGCTGCTGCTGCTGCTTCCGATCACTTTCCCGCCGGACATTGCTTCATGTACCAGTGGTAGGACAGCAAGCCATGAGACATAGCAGGAAACTGAGTGTGTGCAATTTACCCCCTCACCAGCTTCACCCCCTCACCAGCTTCACTCCAAAAATGCATGTGCTGGGCCTGTTGTGGGCTGACGGTATGTATGGTTGCAGGACGAGCAGCAAGCAGGCAGGGACACCAGTGCGTGCGGCCCGTGTAGAGCAGCTGGTGTAGAGAAAACTATCAGCTCTTTTGGTGGTATTAAATATTCCAGCAACCTTGTAAACCCTCTAGTACCCACCTCTAGTACCCAGCATTGCAACTTGTTTGTGACACACCCGGGTGTGCCAAACACCATGGGACACCGCCGTGGTTTCTTGCGTGATCAGCGCCGAACTGCTTAGATGCCCATTATAATCCATCCGTATCAAGTACAGGTCCCTTTACACAGGCTTCAGCATGGCCCGAAGCAGCAGTGCAGCATGCTGCTTCGTGCTGCTGTTTGCAGCGTTCCTGGGGGTGGCCCGGGGCTCGCTCATGGCCATAGATCTTGGCAGTGAGTACCTGAAAGTATGTCTCATCAAGCCGGGGCGCACGCCCATTGCGATCGTTGTCAACGAGATGAGCAGACGCAAGTCCCCCGCCCTGGTGGGCATGGCGGGCGAGGATCGCCTCCTGGGCGAGGAGGCCTTCAGCTTCGCCATCCGCTACCCCACGACGGTGTTTAGCCGGACCAGAGACCTGCTGGGCCGATCAGCAGCAGACCCGTATGTCCAGAACATGCTGGCGGCAAACCTGCTCCCGTACGAGCTCGTGGACCATCCAGAGCGCAAGACGGCCATGGCAAAGATCAATGGGTCGACCGCATACTTGGCAGAGGAGCTAGTGGTGAGTATGGCTGGCTGATGGGACAGGGTGGCATGCTCGCCTCTACCAGTGCATGCTGTGCTCTTGGTGGCCTGGCCAGCGCATGCTAGGGGTTCAGGCATGACCACAATGGTGGTCGCTCGTAAACACCTCGCTGATAGGGCGCCGCTTGCGCACATATAGGTCGTGTCAGCGAAGCATATGCTTCAATTGACACTGGCGGGTAACGGCGGTTGGTGCCGCCACAGCCGCGCCGCAGTGCGCCAACGCAGCCCCACCCTTCACACGCCAACCCCTTACCTGCTGTCCCAATGAACCCACCGGTGCGCATTTCCGTTCACAACTTCTTTCAGGCCGGCGTGCTGCAGTACGCGAAGCAGATCACGGATGCGCACGCGGGTGTGCCCATAGTGGACGCAGTGATCACTGTGCCGGCCTGGTTTGGCATCGCGCAGCGGCAGGTGAGCACCAGGGCGGCCGCGTATGCGCCGGGCAGGTGAGGAGCGCCGTCCTTGGCAGACTCGTTAGCCAAACCATGGCACGGACCGGTCCCGCTGCGAACCAGCTGGTTCGCAGGGGTCGGTGCGCTAACACTCACCGCTATGCCCCCTCGGTCCGGTGCTGCGCTGTGGCCCAGGCGCTCAAAGACTCGGCCGTGCTCGCGGGCCTCAATGTGTTGGCCCTGGTGAACAGCCACTCGGCCGCGGCGCTGCAGTTTGGCATTGAGCGGGACTTTGCGGCCAAGGAGCAGAAGGTGCGTCCGCGCGCGCGCGCGCGCGAGTGCACGGGCACATGGGCCTGCGGCTGGGCGGTTGGGGCGCAGCGCCCACGGCTGCGGAAGCTGTCGGGCAGCGAGCAGCAATGGCTGGACAAGGGCCGGCATGAGGCAGGCCGGGCGTGGGGGCCAGGGGGGTGCGGAGGGAGGCTTATTTTTTGGACAGTAGGCTGGGGTCTATCCCAAGGGCGTGACATGGGGGAGGCAGGGCGTTGTGCAACGGGCGTTCAGGAGCCGTGGGCGGCGCCTCGGGCCGTGCCCCTTCGCCGCAATAGTCGGAATGGCGTCAGGCGTTGGTGGTGGTGCAGGCGGCCGCACCACAAAGCGCGGCCATGGGGCACCTCGAACAACGCCGCGCCCCACCTCAGCTCGAAGCTATCCTGGAGCCGCCTCGCAACGCAGCAGCCGTAAATCGCGCCTCATTCGAGCTGTGACGCGTGCGCATCTTATGCTTGGCCCCCAGGTGATCTTCTATGACATGGGCAGCGGCAGCACTGAGGTGGCGCTTGTCAAGTACTCGACCTACAGGTGACAAGAGGGGCCCGCCATCCTGCATCGCCTGAACCCTTCAGAACGCAGCAAACCCCAAGGCCGTGGGCGGCACTGCATGAATAGGGCAGCAAACAGCATGTGCCTGGATAGGACTCGGGCGTGTTGTGCCTGTAGGGGGCATCGTCAGCAGTCATTCCAGTTGTGGGTTGCCGTCATGTGGCGCAAGCGCCACTAGGACCCTCTTGCACGCCCGCTCTCCGCCCGCCCGCAGCGCCAAGGAGCCCGGCAGCAGCAAGCCTAAGCCGATCAACCAGTTCGAGGTGCGACATGATGCATCGCTCGGGTCGCACCCGCGCCCGCCCTCAGCTGCTCTGCCGTCGGCCCCATTCCCGAGATGTCAGCTGTGCGTGCGCGCGGGGCCCTGCCGTCGTGCCATCGCAGGCCAGCCGCGCTGCTGCGTTGTGTCAGCAGCATCCGCAATAAAGGCGACCGCATTGGTTGCCACATCTGTGGCGGACGCTGGTCAACGCAGGTGCTGGATGCGGACTGGGAGGCTGACTTGGGCAGCAACGCCCTAGACATGCTGCTGACGGAGCACTTTGCCGTGAAGTTCAACGAGAAGTTTGGCCTGGGTGATGTCAGGTGTGGGAGTGGGGCGGGCATGGCACACCTGCGCCTGGTGCAGGTCACGCCTCGTGTGGGGGCGGGCGTTCTGCAGCAGGGAGCCTCAACATGTGAGAGTTTGGTGTCGCCCAACTGCTGGGCGCGCTCACGCGCAGTGGGAGTGCAGCGCCGGCGCATCACCTGGGGTGGAAGTGGGTGCCAATCGAGCCCTGACCCAGCGCTCTGTGGGATCTTGACGTGACGTGCGTTGTCATGTCATGTGATGTCGCGCGTCCACCCCACCCCATGACACGCGACCCCCAGGCAAGTGCCCAAGGCAATGGCCAAGCTCAAGCGCCAGGTGGGGCCCCAGCAGCAGGATTCACCGTTGAGGGCACCCCATCCCCGCCTGCTCTGCCAATATAAGTGCCAGCGCCACTCCTGTGCAGCTCGGGCAGCCGTGTGTTTGTGCATGCGTGTGTGTGTGTGTAAGTCTACACACACATACACATGCGCACGCACGCGCATGTGCACACACAAACACACACATACACATACAGTCCCAGAATTGTTCCACCTCCCAACACACACATATGCGCTTACAAACCCCTTCTAAAGCACACCTGTCTACACATCCACCACACAACACAATTTCAATGCTCGCCCCCGAAACATCACAGCACCCGCCCGCACACACACACACGCGCGCGCGCGCGCGCACCTCCCCCCCCCCGCCCCGCCAGGTGCGCCGCACCAAGGAGATCCTGTCTGCCAACAGCGACGCCCCCTTCAGCGTGGAGGAGCTCCACGAGGGCCGCGACTTCCAATCCTCCATAAAGCGCGCGGATTTTGAGGAGCTCGCGGAAAAGGTGAGGGCGTAGGCTCGCGTGCGGGTGCACGCGCATGTGTGTGTGTGAGGTTGCAGGCGTGCGCGCATATGCAGAGGTCGCGCGTATGTGAAGGGAAATGTGTGTGTGTGTGTGTGTGTGTGTTTGTGGGAGAGAGAGTGAGACAGAAGGGGTTCACAGTTCAAGTGTGGGAGGGGGCCGCAGCGCGTCAGCTGAGATTTTGTGTGTGTGTGTGCGTGTATGTGTGAGGGGGTGCTTTTGCACACGCTCGCTTGCGCGGGCGTGCATGGGCGCATGGTTGTGTTCATGCGTGTGCGTGTGCTCGTCTGTGAGTTGGAGGGAGGGTGCGCGCGCGTGTGTGAGAGCATGTGTGTGCTCGAAACGACAGTGTTTTCTAAATCAGAAAGAGACAACTCCCTTGAGCGTGCCCTGCTTCGCCATCCCTCACGCCCCTGGCCCCCGTGGCCCCTGCAGGGCGGCTTCTGGGCGCGCGCGGCGGCGCCGCTGCAGCGCCTGCTGGAGCGCAACAACCTTAAGCCCTCAGACATCGACGCCGTGGAGCTGCTGGGCGGCGGCAGCCGCGTGCCGCGCCTGCAGGTGTGCGGCGACGACTCAAACGCCAGGCACCTGGGGCTGCCACGCAACAGCCCTGCCGATGCTTGGCCCTATTGTCAGCAGGGGTGTGTCGACGCCAGCATGCCCGCTGCGCCGCCGCTGTAAATGGAGTCGGGGTTGCGGGTCGGCAGGGGCGTGTCCTCACATGCGCCCACTGCGCTGCACGTGCGGCTGCCGTGCTATCAGGGTTCTGTCATCTGCTGCACGTCCGCGCGTCGCTGACGACCCATCGTACCACACAGCCCCGCGGAAGCCGTCGCAAGAGCGTGCGCGTTGCACGTTCCTTTCTCACGCGCACGCGACTGTCGCACCTCTCCACAGGCCGCCCTGTCGGAGGCCCTGGGCGGCCGCTCCCTGGACCGCCACCTGGATGCTGACGAGGCGGTGGTGCTCGGGGGTGCGCTGTTTGCAGCCAACCTCAGCACCTCCTTCCGGCTCCGCAAGTGAGCTGCCTGCCATCCGCCACGCCGCCACGCCGCCGCGCCCTGGCTCAGCATCGTGCGCCCCTCCTAGATCAGACGCAGCGCGCGGCGGCGGCGCCTTGCGCTCCGCTTTCTGCCCCCCGGCGAGGCTCCGCCCTGTGCCGCTAGCTCTGCCTCATCCCCGATTTGCGGACATTCGCTGCCGTGCTGACAGCAGCGAGGGGCCACCCTGATCTGCGCAGGTTTGGCATGACTGATGTGGCGATGTACGGCGTCACCTGGATCAGCGATGACCTCAGGGGCGCATCCGCCGCCGACGGCGACGAGGAGGTGGGGCCCGCTTCTTGTGGCGGCTTGGTGTGTGCCCCGCATGCGCACGCCTGCGCCGGCCGCGGCCTCGCGCCGGGCGTGGGCGGGTCTGGCCCGCGGTGTGCGGGCCGCAGGCCACTGCAGACCCCTGGGACGTGCCGCTTTTCGCCGCCGGCCTGGTGACCCCGCCAGCCTGTTGCCTCTGCGTACGCACGCATGCCTTTATCATAATGGCTGTGTTCTCTCGCGCGTGTTGCGCTGCGTGTCACCTCTTCTACGCTGCCTGCTCCTTGCACCCTTCCGCGTGCAGCACTCCGACCCCAAGGAGCTGTCCTCAAAGCAGTTGGGGCCCCTGGTGAAGAGCCTGCTGCCCACCGGCAAGAAACTGCCCATCAAGCGGGCCGTCAAGTGAGGGGGCCGTGCTGAAGCTGCGCGGAAGCGGCCCGTGCTTGAGTTGCGGCCAGCAGCGCCAGCGGCTGCAGCAGGCATATACCCGTGCCTTTATCGCCCTTGGACTGTCTGTCGTGCACCCTTTCGCCATCCCTCCGACCCTCCCCGCCCTCCCTGCCGGACACCCTCGCCGTCGAACGGCCCGCCAGATTCCACAACCTGACGGCCGACGCCTTCTCATTCCGCCTGGAGTACAACACCACCGCGCGCCACGGCCTGCCGCCGGGCCATGAGGGCGGCCCCGTGATCGCGTCGTATGATGTCACCGGGGTGGCGGACGCCGTGGCGAGGTGCGGGGGCGGGAGGCGGGGGTGGCGGCAGCCGCAAGCTCGCATGCGCGGCCTCCTCCATGGCGACCCGCGCGCTCCGCCCAGGCGCCACAGTCGCGGCGGCAAGGGCGTCCCTCGCACACATACTGCCTCAATGAATCGAGCACTGTGGGCATGTTGCACGCTGTGCAGTTTGCGTGGGCAAGTCTGTACTGACCGTCACTGTTCCAGCTGACACCCGGCCTGTCTACCTGGCCCCAGCCCCGCACGCACCTGACTAATGACAAAACCCCACCCCCACCGTGTACGTAATCTCCTACCTCCGTCCAGGTACAACCACAGCGGCGTCACCGCGCTTCGCTTTGACGCGGACTGGAGCGGACTGGTTGCGCTGGACAGGGCGGAGTGCGTCGTGGAGGTCGAGGTGTGGCTCGGGGACATCATGCGGGCGTTGGTGCAGTCCGGAGAGCTCTGTGATCACATGGCATGGCCGGGTGGCTGGTTGACGCCTCGCGTCCGCGGCTGCAGTGGGGAGGGGTTCGTGGCCGGAGGGGGGAGGTCGGGTGGCTCAGGGTGGTCCTGCTGAAGGCCGGGTGGACGAGGAGCCGCCCGGCCTCGTCTGGTGTTATGGGAGCATTCAAGACCGCAGGCGGCACACGCGCACATGCACATGCACACACACACACACACACACACACACACACACA